TGTGAGAGACCTGGACAGGATGGATAGCCGAGGAGGTAAAGGATAGGACGGGGCAATCCATGGGAATCCAGGTAGATGAAGGTGTCGAGGCACATCCATTCCACCCACTAAGAAAATGAGACAGGAAAAGGTAAAAGAAAGAGGATGAAAAGAAGCCACCCATCCCGGAGGCGTGACAGACACGGCCGTCCAGCAGACCAACCGACCAGGCACCCAGCCAGCCAGTTAGCTCCCGACAGGTCAGCCAGCGTGGCAAGACTGTGTGTGCAATTGATCGAACGGCCGGCTTGGAGGGAGGGGCTTCGGTTGATTTGAATTGACTGTGCAAGTTAGAGGCGTGAGGCCGAGAATGCTGAATGACACGACGGACACGACGACCGGAGAAGGCGACGAGATGAGATGAGGCAGGAATTGCTGATGTCGGTCAATGCTGGGGGAGTTCGGGGAGGCAGGCCATGTTTCTCGTAATAAAACGGGGAAAGGGGGCACACGTGGATATTGGTCAAGCCGAAGCGAGAAAGTATGAGACTGGCGATATGACGACCTTGCAGTGGTCAGGCAGTCTGCCAGTCAGTAATTCGAGGCCGAGAGGGAGAGGGTAGCATTGGCAGTGGGAGGCGAAAAAGATGTAAGATGGGAGGCATTGAAGAGAAATAAAGCAAGCAAAAAGCGGACGCAGATCGAATGGTGAGGCGTCTATCAAATTGGCTTTGAAATGGGACGGAGAGGTGATTGAGAACGAACGAGGTGCTGTGAGGAGGTGACGGACGGGAAGAGGGGCAGCCATGCAATGCCACGCCTCTAGCCAACGCCGGTTCATTCCCTGACAGAGCGAGCTGAAGAAAGAGCAGCCGTCCATGTTCTCAGTGAGTGTGGCAGTCACACAGCAGATTGAACCGGACATCACGATACCTTACCTTACCTTCCGAGCCTTCCCCTCCCGTCCTCTATTACATTCAGCTATTTCTAACAAGAAGGAACTGGGCAGGAGCAGTCGGTGTATCGTAAGGTACGTAGGTAATTGGGAAGGAAAGAGCAGCTCATCGAGAGCACCTGCAACCATTGATTGTGTGGCAGCAAAAGATGGGCAGGCACCGGGGCACCGTGAGGCAAGGACAGGCAGGCACTGTAAAGTGCAGGTGGTAAATGGTGGATGGACATGGCCACACAGCACACAGCACAGGCTGGAAGGAGGAGGAGGAGGAGACAGGCAGGTAGGTACCTCTTGCCATGTACTTCACATAAATCGCCCAACCTGCCCCCGTTCCTCTCCTCTTTCTCTCACTTTTTTCCCTCACCTTCCTGACGCATCTGCTCGTCCTTTTCTCGCTGTTTGTCGTCTTTCGAGCTGCTCTCATCTGCGTTGCTGCGTATTCGCGGCTCTATCTGTCGCCCTCTTTGGGTTCCACTGACCTGGAAACGGTACCTCCAACTGGCCCTCACCACCGTTTTCCCACCGTCGGGCACGTATAAGTCACAGGCCGACCTCGATCCGTTCAACACCAAAACCAGCACGATTGAGCCTCAAAAATGACCACCATGGCGACAGACGAATCATTCCCGGATTGAACGATATTCTCCCAGAATTCTCGCATTCCCATCAGCCCGCCGACCCGGAGGGCGCGCAGAGAGGGCAGACTCCCTCCACAAAGGGTCGAAACAGTCCTGGCTGGCTGGCTGGCTGGCTGGGGCCACTCCACGGACGGGGTCGGACAAGGGTGTCTGCCGTCTCTGGCCACAGTCTCCATCCCTCAGTTACGGCCACTGGCCAGACCGTCTGCCATCACCTCAAGCCGGTGTGCTACTCCGACCACACGAACAAACAACAAAAGAAAATCAACCTGGTGCGATCCAAATTCACGCCCGATCCCGGCCCAAAAACCCAAGCACCAGAAGGCGCCAAAAAGGGCACCAAAGCAGCGCGAAAGCGCAGGCACGAGCAGAGACACTTCCAGGACCAGCCATGACCGGCCCGGCACCGGGCCTAGCCAAACCACGCCAGACATGGGATCCCGCCAACAAATGACGAAACAAACCCTGAGAACAGCCCGGACCCTACCTGTGCCTTTCCACGGTACGATCTGGTTTTTCCATCGAAAAAAGTCCGAAGTATTTTACGGCTGTCTTTGTCTCGATTTGAGCCTGCTGGGAGGGGTTGAGACATCTCCCAAGGTCCCCTGGCAGCGTTGACGCTTCTGATGACGGCTGGTTGGTCATTGTTGACGCCGGGGTTGGGCGGTTTGGACTGGTGGGTGGCCCGCCTCGACCTGAGCCATGTTACTGGGAAGGATGCGCCTTTACCGCATTGGCGTCTTTCGGGCTTCATTGGCGGGGCATCCTGCAGCAATCAACCATGGACAACGAACGACAGCGGCAGTCCTCAGATGCAGCTTCTATCGCTTGCACGAGGACAGCCAGAACCGGGCGGCAATTCGTCTGTTATGCCCTCGAATTTTCGGCTGCTACTAGACACTTTATCACTTGCCCAGCCTCAAGCAGTTTATCCCGACCAAGCCAGGACCCCCCACTTACACCGATGGTCGTGTCTACCACCTCTGCGGTTGTGATTGGGATTCTCAGGGCCACCATCACATCACGTTGGTCTGTTGGTGTGACGAGCTGCCAACCTCGCATCGCCGCGGTCTGCATCGGATCATCGACACTCAGTCCGATGCCTTGCCTGCCGCCCAAACATATCTCGGCATGAGCTTTGCATACTGGCATCATTCTGTCATACCTCGTACGACGTCAGCCATATCGGATCAGCATCCATCGCGACAGTATCATTTCTTACTCTCCGCCCAGCACGCAGTCGACACCCATGCGGACGTCTACTGTTCTCTCTCCGAGCATCGTTGCCCTTGTATATCGTTATCGAACTCAACACTCACCAAGCGGTGAGCATCTCCTTCAGCAATCTCAGCCGAGTCCGAGGACGGCGCCTTACTCTTCAAGCGAGTGCTTGAAGCCACCCGTGAGAACAAAGAGCGAGATCATCGTACGTCGGGCATCTTTCTATATTTTGCTACATCATTTCCATCTGGCTATGGCACTCTCTTGCGCAGCCGTATCACTGACTCGCAGATCTCTTGGCTCTGTGCTGTTTCGTGGCTTTCTGGTGTTTGCTGCAGGCAGGGGTGAAGAGGAATGACAACGGGGATCGACATGAACTGCGTGGCAGCATCAGACAAGCTGAATGGCCTCTCGGAAAGGCCATGGGAGGGGCGGTCACCGAGCATAAGGAATGGACGGTGTCAAACGGCCATACTACGGGGAACGGCAGGGTCATCGCATGCGTCGGGTTCGAAGATCAGCGAAGAGAACGCGACGAATTGAGGGGGTGCGGCAACGACATTGTAAAGATTCCCCAACGAGACCAAATGGATGGTCAACAATACAGTCGCCCACGACTGAACGCATGGGAGCACGCAGACGCCGCAGAGGAGGCTGGACCGAGCAGGCACACCACTAATATGCTATTGCTAAAGGGTGGAGCCCAATCTGGTAGTGATGGGAGCAATGTGCTGCATGTCACTAACGGATCATCCATTGCTTCCTATTGCAGTACTAACACTCACAGCTCATTGGCCATCGGCTTCTTCCGGCTCTCGGCTACACGAGGTCCAAGCGAGGCTAACCAGAAACAGCCAGGTGGCGCGCCTGGGAGCATTTTCGCGGAGCAGGCCCTGAAACCAATCAAGCGGCAGAATCAGGGACAGAGGGCGATTTTGGCGAGTCGTTCCCAGCAGCAAGAAAGACTCGCCCGATTCCCGTTCATCCACCGGCACCCTCCCCCAAACCCGACTCCAGATCCAGCTGCAGCAGCACGCACATTGAGCGCGATTCCTGCGTTGCGTTTTGAGAGACTTTCCACTCACTCTACGGATACCTTACCTAGCCTTAGGTAAGACCAAGCCGGACCACCCTTCGTTCAGCCTCTCTGATTGCCTATTGCTGGCCGGTCCCCATCGGTCTGCCCTTTCTCTGTCCGCTGTTCGTTTTGTTGTTGCTCCTGTCCCGTCCTGTCCAGCTGCCCCGACCCGAGCAGCTCCTGCCTCCCTCCCGCCGCCGCCCCGAAAGTCGTACCCTTTTTTTCAATCCTCGCACCCCCATCCCGATCACCCCCGGGCCGCCGATAAAGTTGTAAGTTCTATTCTAATTATCTCGTGAGCTGCTTTTGATGTTGCCGCACCGTCTTTTGATGGCTGGTGGCTGATGAAGTTGATGCTTGCTATTGTGGATGCGCGACGTTCGCGATTGCTGCACTGCAGGCAGGCATTTGCTTCATCACCCACTTGCCTGCCATTTCCTTCCTTATCTCTCTCTGCACTCTTTTCCCCATCCCCAAATGAGCAGCTAGTCTGTCGCATTGGGACGAGAGGAAAGGAAACAAAACGTTTCCCCGCGAGACGACGCGAGTCGCTGGCGTTGGCAAACCTCGATGGTGCCTGCCTTGGCCTGTGTCGCGCTCTCTTGGGTGCCCTGTCTCTCCTTCCTTTATTTCCCCTACGATTTTTTTTTTTAATTTTTTTTTTTTTTTTTTTATCTTCCTTGCTCGCCGCCTTCCTTCCCTCGCTGCCCACTCCTGCTCAAACTCACTCGCGCCTTACCCCCGTCGTCGCTCCCCCGAAGGCAAGTGCAAGGCCCAGGCACACAGCCCGGTCCTCCTCTCCCAAGCCCGACGGCTGCCATCAGCCCGCCCCAGCACAGAGCACTCCAGCCAAAAGCGGCCGCTCCACTGCTGATTTCCCACACACACCCGCTACTCGTTCGCTCGCTCCCCCCAGCACAACGCACCACGCTCCAAGGCCACCACGTCCACGTCTACCACACACAACCGCGACGCGCGCGACCAAGTCTGCATCGCGACAGAGCCTACTGCCGTGCCACTTCCCATCACGATCATCCGTTGCTCCATCTCAATGGACCTTGGCCTATTGAGTCCTTGTCGCTGACTTTCCAAGTAATCGCTCGATGGGTCGCGAAAGCCGACCACAGCCATGAGCACCTGGATGAACGAAGCCGCGGTCCCCAACCATAATGGCAACGGCTTCCCTCACATGAACGATCCCAATGCCGCCGGAGCCATGATGGATCCCTCTGCCTTCATGGGCAACCCGGCCCATTTCAACCCGGCCCAGTTTGCCAATCCCCAGCAGGCGCAGCAAGCCCAGCAGCACCAGGCCCAGCAACAACAGCAGCAGATGGCCGCCATGCAAAATGGACAGATGCGCAACGCTTCGCCATCGTCTTTCCAGAATCCCGCCTATCAAACAAACCAAGTGATCCCCTCGAAACGACCCCGTCCTCGCGAAGACAGCCTCGCCGGCTCACCGCGACAAAACCCGGGCATGCTGCCGACGTCGCGCTCCGAGACGCCCCAGACGTTCCCCGGTTATCAAGGCGCCATGTCTCAACAAGGTCAAAGTCAGCCATCGCCGTATCCTCATCTCCAGAATGGCTCCGCGAATGCGACGCCATCCCCGATAATGGCAAACCAGTTGAGGCCCGGTAGCGTTCCTCAAAGGGTCGCGACCGCGTCACCTCATCCATTCTCGCCCGGCGCGCAACAGTTTGCTCCCCAGGCATCGCCAAATCCATCCGAACATGGTACGCCTCAACCGAATCACTACATGCAGAACCCGAACATGCCCCCGGGCTTCAATCCCAACTTCACGCCGACGCAACAGTCGCCGGCGAGACCCTCTCCTAACCCGAACGCGATGGCAGGAGGGATGATGCCCCAGCAAATGGGACAGATGCCACAACACATGGGACAAATGCCGAATCAGATGCTGCCGCCCAACATGCAGCCGCGAAATGCGATGGAACAGCAACAAATGGCCGCGTACCAGGCTCGTCTTCAGAAACAGTTACAGCAAGGCAATATCCAGGGCATGCAAAATATGCAGAATATGCAGAACATGCAAAACATGCAGAATATGCAGATGGCGGCTCAGATGCAGGCCCAGAGCATGGCTCAGGGTCGTGGCATGATGCCCAAGCAGCCTATGCCAATGTCGAACGGCCAGATGCCCCCAGGCGCGATGCGTCCCCAGCAGCAACCGCAGCAGCAGCGCCCGATGCCCCGAACCGATCCCGACCAGTTCATGAAGAGCCTCACAACGTTCATGACGGCTAAAGGCCTTCAGTTTGACCCGAACCCTGCCATCGGCAACCGTCCGGTTAGTTTGTTGACGCTTTTCCAAGCTGTTCAAGCCAAAGGTGGATATAAACCTACCACTGCTGGCAACCAATGGCCAAACGTCTCCAATCAAATCGGATTTCACCCTGGACAAATACCGCAGGCGCCTCACATGATGAAGGAGATTTACGAAAGGAACTTGCTGAGGTTTGAAGAGGCTTGGCATGCTCAGACAAATAGGCAACGTATGATGCAACAACAGCAGCAGGGCATGCCCAACCAGCCCATGCCTGGTCAGCAACCTCAGGGAACTCCAACCAAGCAGATGTCTCCCCAAGGCCAGATGCCCCAGCAACAGATGATGCCGCAAGGACAGCCGAACATGCCTCCGCAAGCCCAGACGCCCGTTAAGCAAGGGTCGTTCAGTGGTCAGCCTCCTGCTGTGAATGGTTTCCAAACTCCTCAACCGCCAGGACAACAGACACCAGCAAATGTGCCGCCAGGTCATGCGCGTAACAGCTTGTCGCGAAGCGTCGAGCCGACGCCTGGTCACCCGAACTTCCCCGCAGCGTCTCCCGCCTCCGTAAAGGGTGGCGGTATGCCGATGCCCGCCCCTCCCGTCATGGACCAGAACCCTATGGCTGCTTCGATCAAGCCCCGTATGCTGCGTCTCGCTCAAGAATCCGACGAGTACACTCCAAGCGCCCGACCGCTGGAGGCTTATGGTGGTATCAACGTTCGCGCTTTCGATCTGAAGGGGTTAGAGCTCCAGGCGTTGAAACCCGATATTCCGCCGCCATATGAGCTTGGCTACGTGGACTTGCACGCCCTTACCCGCAGCTTGGAGTCTGGTATCCACGGCGAGGTTCGCCTCGCATTGGACACCTTGGCAACGGTGACGGCAACCCAACATCAGGCCCTGCATATCCATCTGAAGTACTGCGAGGAGCTCATTGAGGCTTTGCTGGAGTGTGCGGAGGAACAATTGGATTTTCTGGTGGAAAACACGGAAGAGTCGTCGTCGGATATCCAGCTTACACCGTACGAGGACGTCGCACGCGCATGCTGGACCGAGAAGATGGGTGTCAAGGAGTTGCCGAAGTTCGGGTCGCCAGAGTACGAGCTTGACCGAGCCGTTGATCGTTTCTCCTGTGTCATCACGATTCTCCGTAATCTGTCCTTCCCGGAGGCTGCCAACGAGAATCATATGGTGCTTGGCGACGAGCTCGTCATCAAGTTCCTTTGCGCCACCATTCGATACTTGGGCACGCGCAGCATGCTTTTCCGAACGAACGCGAACACCCTCGAGTTCATGAAGGATGCCATCATCCTGCTGTCCAACATCGCTGGTGCGGTCGAGATTCCCGGTCGTGAACAAGCTCTGTGCTTGCTGCATTTCCTTTTGGCCTTCGCTCCCGCACCTGGCCCGACGGTGGTAGAAGATAAGATGTACTTCCCTCCTTACCAGCCTGGTGTCCACACCTACACCTTCCACGCCGTGGATGCGTTGGCCAGGTTCCTGGCAAGAGATGAACCGAATCGCACACACTACAAGACGATTTTTGCGATGGACGCTAGTAGCAATCCGCCTTTCGACCTACTTACACGGGCATTTGCGCTTTCGACGACCGTCATCCCCATCCAGACACCTGAGTCTGCTGTGGCACACGTGGAGGCCCCGGAAAAGTTTTTCAGACTGATCGAGGACCGCAAGCCCTGGCTCATGCAGGGTCTTCTGGCTGCCGATATCATCGCATCCCTTGCGCCGGGTCACGAGACGGGTATCGCGAAGGCCTGGCTCACAAGCGGAAATGGATTCGCACAGAGCTTGTACCACTTTGTGCAGGTACTCGGCGCCCAGTTCGAGCAGCCGTGGCAAACGCGAAACGGCCAAGGCGATCCCGCTGGTCGAGATAACGGGCTGGTGTACATTGCCACCTGCGGGATTTCAACGCTGCGGCGGTTGGCCGAAAAGGCTCGGGACCCTAACGACCCCAAGTCCAGCCTTCCTGCCGACGCGTTACCGTCGGAGGAGTCCGTCTTCAAGATGATGCTCATGCGGTCGCCCGAGTGGACCAAGGATGGTGTGATCAAGAACCTATCGGCTTACTCAGCGTTGGATTGATAGACTTTCTGGTGTTACGACTTTTAGGATTGTGCATGGCATAGAAACGGAGTCGGGGAGTGCGTTTTGTTTGGGGGAGCTTCACTGATACCAGATGGACCCTGAGTGGGAGGGTTTATCCAAGCCTTGTGTTGCCATGGGACAGGCACACATCCTGCGGTGGTGTGGATCGTGTATAAGAGTGTAACTAAAAAAAGAGAAGGAATTTGATGGGAGTTTATTGGGGGCTTGGAGCGAGGATGCTTGACGGGAGCCATTCTTTCATAGGTGTACAAATGACGCGACAATGCAAGAATACCTCCACTATTGTCACATTGTGAGACTACCTGACGAGATCTAATACCTTTTCGTGATCGCATGCTGTCATACGGTTGTGGGATATTTTATCATGAATTCCCTCTCCCGCCTGAATGGGTTATAATACATTTGGCCTTCAGTCTAGCTCACTATGGTGCTTCTCGGCCCAGATGTGCCAGCGACGGCCCAGCCTTTCCTGCTTTTTTGTCTTCCGCCAGTATGCTACAACGGTTGATACACAAGCTGCAGTGCAGCCTCGTCACGCCATTCCCAGGCCTCATGCCTTGACCTCCGTCGGTGTCGTCTTGGCGATCTTGGGGTTGCCGAATGTGGTTGCAAGAAACTCCTTGATTTCTGTCGTGTGGTGGCCCTGGTATGCAAGTCAGCCGACGCTCGGTAGTCTCGGAGTTTTACCACAGCGATTGGAATCACGGACCTTGATCTCAACGTGCTGTGTTACGGGGTTGATTCTGAAGTTCTCCTTGGGCACCTTCAGCGCTGCGGACACGTCGGTGATCAGGGCCTTGCGGTCGCCCTCGATCTTCTTGATAACTGTGCGCTTGCTTGAGCCGGCGGCCTTGTCGTCCCTGTAGACGGGGAAGGAGTTGGAGGCCGTCAGGTTGATCAGGTACGGTTTTGAGACGGGTGTCGCTGTGGAGGAGAATCGGACGGTGGGGGGGATGGCGGATCTGGGGAGGAAGGTGGCTGGCCTGGCGAAGGCCGTTCTGAGAGCTGTGCAGTTCATATTTGCGGCAGGAGGAGCGGATCGGTGCCGGAAGGAGGATTGTCGTCGTCGTCGTGGAGGGGTCCTTGGCTGGCCGTCGACAACAGCTTCAGCATCAGAGGTTTCCAGCGGAGGGATTCGCGCCGGTTGAAGCTCGGCACAATCCACCTTACCTAATCAGGGACCTCTCGGAGAAAGCAGACGCACGGTCCAGGCGTGAGTGAATTAGGCGGACCGGCAAAACCACGGCACGCCGCAAAACCCCCCACCAATTCTTGCCTTTGGCGAAAATGGCCAAAACTCTTCTGAGCCTGCCCCTCAGCCGGAGAAAACAAATCTGAGCAAAAAATAACGTGCGACTTGCGAAAGGACGGCCGAACCGCGACACCTCCCTCCCCCCGCCTCCGATCACGATCCCGACGACGTCACCCGTCTTCCGCACCGATTTGTCCATCTTCCCCTAATCGAACCCGAAACAACCCTCACAAACAACCTCGCCCATCATGGAGGAAGTCTACGCCGCCCTCGACGGCGAGAGCATCCTGCCCAAGCTCGCGTCCCAGCTGTCCCGCCACCTGGTCTTCCCCCTGATCGAGTTTGAGGCCGGCCGCGCCGAGGAGAAGGGCGACGACGACAAGGCGCGCAAGATCCTCGCCGGCAAGATCAAGCTGCTCGAGGACACCAACATGGCCGACTACGTCGCCCAGCTCTACCAGGACCTCAACGGCGGCAGCGAGCCCCCCGCCGAGTACACCAAGAAGCGCAACGAGGTCATTGCCCAGCTTGAGAAGTACGAGGCCGACACGGCCAAGATCTCGGAGCTGCTGACCCGCGAGGATGTCGTCGGCGCGCTGCGCAGCGACAAGGTTGCCAACTTGGAGTTCCTTAAGAAGGACCACGATGTGAGTTTGTCCCGCGTCTGTCTATCCCGACGGAGATCAGCAAGCTGACACACGCTCTTCAGGTCACCATCGAGATGGTCAACGCCCTCTACGAGTTCGGCCAGTTCCAGTTCCGCTGCGGCAACTACGGCGCCGCCGCCGAGCTCCTCTACCAGTTCCGCGTCCTCTCCACCGACAACGACCGCGTCTCCTCGGCCACCTGGGGTAAGCTCGCCTCCGAGATCCTCACGACCAACTGGGACGCCTCCGTCGAGGAGATCCTCAAGGTCAAGGAGGGCATCGACTCCAAGCTCTACAACAACCCGCGCGCGCAGCTCGACCACCGCACCATGCTCGTCCACTGGGCCCTCTTCCCCCTCTTCAACCACGACGGCGCCCGCGAGGCCGTCCTCGACCTCTTCTTCTCCGCCGCCTACATCAACACCATCCAGACCTCGTGCCCCTGGGTCCTGCGCTACCTCATCGCCGCCGTCATCACCGGCCGCTCGCGCTCCCGCAACTCCTCCCTGCACCAGAAGCAGATGAAGGACGTCATCCGCTACGTCCGCCAGGAGGCCTACGAGTACAGCGACCCCATCACCGAGTTCGTCTCGGCGCTCTACGTCGCGCACGACTTTAACGCCGCCCGCGAGGCCCTGCGCAAGGCCGAGGAGGTCTGCCGCGCCGACTTCTTCCTCATGAGCTCCTCCGACTCGTTCGTGGACGCCGCGCGCCACCTCATCTGCGAGAGCTACTGCAAGATCTTCAGCCGCATGAACATCCGCGACCTGTCCGCCAAGCTCGGCCTCAACCCCGACGACGGCGAGAAGTGGATCGTCAACCTCATCCGCGAGACCCGCCTCGACGCCAAGATCGACAGCCAGGAGGGCACCGTCATCATGAACCACCCGCCCAACAACGTCTACCAGCAGGTCATTGAGAAGACCAAGGGCGGCTTCTTCAGGACCCAGGTCCTCACCGCCGCGGTGTCCAAGTCTTGAGAGGCAGGCGTGTGGTTGTGTAAAAAGGATACGGTTGGGATAATGAATGAAACTCTACAAGGGGGGAGGATATAGGTGGGGGAAGAGAAGAACTACTACGATGCAAACAAAAAGGAAAGGATGCCAGGCCAGGTTCTTCTTCTTTTTTAACGATAGACCGCATGCAAAGAAGCCAACCGAGCCCGGCCGGAGAGGTAGGGGGCAACTAGCTTCATGGATTGAGTAAGGCTGGCTGGTTTCGTGGTTTGAAGCAAAAGATATTTGTCCCCCCCGAAAGGCTTCTTTTTGCATTGGCACGGCGTTTTCAGGGCAAAAACGGGGTATCTTTTTACTCTTTATCCTAAAGGGGGTCAGCAGCAGCAGCTACGAAATGGGCAGTGGGGAGGCAGGAAAGGGGAAGATGCTTTCCCCGCTTGCCCTTTTGCTGCTTTATTGAAATGTTTACAGTTATGAGATCTCTTTTGCTGGTGATGTGATGTGACTATAAATGTGTGCCATCTACTGGGGATGGGGCCCTGTTTTCAAAACCCCCAGCCGCACAATGGTCCTCGATGGTGTGCGGCGAATTGAATACTTCTGTCTTTCTTTTTGCTGTCGACCAAGCGAGGATTCGGGATTCCCACGTTCGGCGATGTGTCTCCGGCATGAGAAAGAGCTCGAGGGGCCTCCAGGTTCTGCGCATTTGAAGACGAATACACTGAGATTGACGGGGATGAAGAATGATGATTGACCAGCGCTAGATCGTTCACGTTGCTGTCGACCTGACACTTAGGCTCAGATAGAGAGAAAGATGCTTCAAACCATGAGATATGTCCAATAATCGAGATAAAGATCGCATTTGCTCTCCGTTGCCGCTTCAACTTTCGAGAGTCCCCCAGACCGAGACTTTATACCCCGTCCGGCACCGTGTCTGCGTTCCCTTTGCCGTAGTATAGAACACAAGCTATCTAGCCTGGAAGATGGTGGTTCGAGGCGGCAATGCGACCGAGGCTTCGCTTTTGGATGTTAGTGAACGGAGGCAGGCAGTTTCGATGCTGATCTGGTCGGCTTCTCGCACAGTCTGATGCAAGGTGCTCGGCCTACGTTATGGCGTTGGATTGCTCGGCTCTTTGGGATTGCGATGACGTGTATTCAGGTATGAATATGGATATGACCTGGTTGGATGAGAGAAGGCTTTGGGTCTTGCTACTGGTTGGAGAGAAATCATTATTGAGAAGGCAATATATGCGATAGATATCTCGAAGAGTTGGAACCTTGCGGCTGGACCGTTCTCGAAGAACTGGGATGCATTGTCTCTTGGATTGTGTAGCATGCCGCCTACTGTCATCCCTCTCAAATACTCTCAATATGCTTCAGTACAGGACGTGCAGGTTTCCTCCCGAAGCCAAAGGCTGCTTGTGATATAAAACTCTGCGCCTGGGTATATTTCAAACTGCAGAATCAAAGAATCAATGACCAAGGGTACTTGGTGATTCATACTATCCCCGGCCGTGGAAAGCTTCAGCAGGCGTGAAGAGTGAAGCTTGAAACCAGGCTGAGATGGACTCATGTGGATGCTGTTTATCGGATGTGTTGCTTTTTAGGTATTCGGAATGAATGTACTCAGAATAGAAGACGATGATGATGATTAGCGTGAGAGGTAATATGGTTTGAGCTCGTGTAAATTGTGAAGCCTGCGTCATAATATCGCGTGAGATGATGATTAAAACACCAGCTGGTGCAATGCCCCCATACTAAACAACATCTGGTTAAAGAACCCATTGCCTTGATTCCAAAGCGGTGAAGTGGTGCAGCTCATCTTATATAAACACCGACCAGTCTGGGTGTGTGCGCTGACGGCCACTCACTAATGACTACTCACCAGGAGATATACGCTATCGATCCAAACTCATGAAATGTTTCGTGGCCTAACAATATGAGTATAAAGTGTTCTTTGGGCGACGAAATCCATCTCAGCCTTAGCCGCAATTCGATGGTAGTAGCAAGTGTGAAATTGCAGAGAACATGGCATGTTCTCACGTGGATCACCATGAAGCAACCTAAATTGCGATGGTCATTGCTTTGTCCCTGAAATGGAGGCCCAAGAATCTTAAGTTT